ACTCGTACGCCACCCGTTTCGTCTTTAAGTCCGTGGGCGTTTCCCCATATATAACAATTCTTCCGGGGTTAGGTTAGGTCATTACTTCACAGAAATTATCCAACTTACTCTGCGAAAAGCAGTCCCTCAACCAATTGTTGCCGAGGGAACCTTAAACCTGCTTGATATATCACCCGTTACATAAATGATGTTACATTTATAGACTATTACATTATACCTTGAGGATCCTTGAAGCATAGCGACCACCCACCCCATCCAGGCACCTGCTGTGCCCAACCTCAAGTTCAACTACTTTGCCAATCTGTAAATTGTTCCGACCCTGCCCCACCAAATCCAACCTCAAACAGCTTAGGAGCTCCACTCACCGTGCTCCCTCGCGCCTGGCGGCCTTCTTGGACTTCTTGGTCAAGAGCCGCTTGGAGCCCAGGAAGACCGCGTCCTGAACGAGAGCGAAACGTGCCCATTGGAAGCAACCGGAGCGTCGTTCGGAACGACGCCGCCTGGCCTCAAATTGCTTAGAGATAGGAATTTTTCATTATCAGAACGCAATGATAGGGATCAATCTCTAATATGCAATTCAAATTCCCATGTCAAATTATGTCAGAATGCAAGCATAATTAGATTATATATTTATAGGAACTGTGTAACACTGCAAGATCCCGTGCTCATGACATGCTGCGGGTGCACGATCCCATCCAATGAAGGCTGTCCTGCTTCTGGAAGGCCTTCTCAGTCTGATCCATGGTGCCTGGTGCCTAGGTCCGACAGTCTCGACAGAAGGCCTTATGACTGCAACTATCCACCCACATACCCCATGGTCACAGTGCCAACATGTGCCAACTCCTCCAGTGCCAACGTTCTTTCGTTGCACCCCCTGCCAATCCATGGGACGTTTCCTCTGCACTGCGGGCATCGTCCGAGGCGCAGCGTGACGGCGCGGAGATCGGGTGAGTGAGGCCACGAGTGGCTGTGCCCTGTGAGCCACGAGGTGCCGCGCGAAGCGCACGGCGTCACGATGCGTGGCAGGCATTTGTCTTTCCGTTCGAAAAGAGAGGAGCATCAGTGAGGAGCATCAGTGGCAGGGCTCTCGAAGCGAAAAAAGAGTTGGCTGGTCAAAGTTCAAAGTTCTACAGTATTACGATGTCTCATGTCCTTTCGGTCTTGTTTGCCTGTACCTTCATGGCACAATGAGAAATCATGGTGACTCGACCGATACTTCCAGTGATGATTTAACGGATGTCAAACTGAGCTCTTGCTCCGAAATTACAAGAACCATAGCAAATTCAGCAAACTTTCTGTGCGATCCATTTAACCCGCGCGTAATCATTGAGAAAGGATATCCCAAAGTCAGACCCTGCCGATGAGGTCCCAGGCTTCTGACTGTCCATCGCATGTCTCACTTGGTGCATCTCCAGCCCAACACACCACTTTTCTCCACAGTGCGCACGAGGGGCGCGTTATGACACCTCACCAGGCGAGACACATCTTCCACGCAGCCAGGGGGCTGGGAAACCATAAGTTGAAATCAACTCCTCAACCACATGTTCTTCAACAAACGCATGCGACACGATTGAAACAACACGACCTGAAGGACCAAGAGAAACTGTTTTTCGCTGGCAACCACTTCAAGAACCCACTGGAAGTCCATACGAGATCAACAACATCTCCAAGAAGAACATTATATAAATACTGCTACTGTAAATCCTGTGTGCAACCTTTTTGTACTCCCGGGAGGAGAGCGGACTTCACACAAACAACAAGGCACTAACAAATGCACAATCTTTCCCAAACGTGTCTACTTGACTTCAGATCTGCAATCCAAGACCTTGAAATAAGAATACGTTATAACTATGTTAAAAATATATATATATATATGTGTGTGTGTTAAGTTTATTTTACGTTGATTCTCGCGAAGCCGTCCAACCCCCAAATTTGGAAGGTCCCACATATGATCTTTGCATTTTGATCCTAAGACTCCAAGGACATCTCAGAACGAAAAACAACAAACACTGTGCGTTCAGTGTGCCTTCAGCGCTGATCGCTGATGCCGAATATCGTTCAGTCGTGACTCCTCCGCCAAGGAGAGACTCCTCGCACCAGGCATCCAAGAGTCGTTCAGCCACTCCGGTTGTCCATTCACTGGCCAAAGTGTGGGAGTAGAATTATGGCTATATCTTCTTTCCTTCACTAGGTGACATTTCAACAGAACCAGGCTGAACCAGGTCCAAACATGCTATTCAACAAACAATGTGCATACTACACAGATATATATATATATATATATTAGATATAGATTATATATGAAAATGTATATATGGACAGTCTCATTGTTGGACTGCCGGTGCTCAAGGTCCGAAATGGACCTATACGATCGAAAGTCCACCTCTCAGGACCACCACCGTCTCTGTCCGCCCAGAAAATAGCAGCTACCACAACGCTGGAGGAACTTCATGCTGGGATTCATGGACATGTCTTCTGAACTGTTTTGTCCACCTCATTCTTTTTTTGGAGCTTGTAGAATTGTTGTCAAGGATCCACCACTCACAAAATATGACGTGACGAAACCTGCGACACAACCTTGTTCCTCCAACCGTTCTTTCATTATCTTCACACAGCCCCACACAGAAATATGGGAAATCCCAACACACATGATCATACATGCACATATATCATATACACACTAAATGCGACTCCCAGGTACCCAACCCAAACCGCGCTTTGGCCATGCCTTTTTGCCCCCGCACGGGAATCGGCTGGGCCACCCGCACCCGAGCCGCTCGAGGCGACCCAGGAGCTCCTCTTCCAGCCGCGCCAAACGAAGCTCCTGCGGCGAAACGAAGCTCCTTCAGTCGTCGATTCCACGTCGACTCGGACAGGTCCCGGGCCAACACCCGAAAGCAACAAAACATGAAAACGGAAAAACACTGCCACCCAGAAAGAAAGCACAAGCAAATTCAAAGCAACCACAAACCAATGGAACCCAAAGCAACACCGTGTGTTCCAAAACCCGTGGACCGGTTCGGTGCGCTGGAACTCCGCCCGTCCTCCAAGCGTCGGTCTTCGGATTCCTCGATGTCCTTCGGCTCCTGCGTGGCGCAGAGGTGCGATGGATCCATGGGGGTCCGGTCCCAGCACTGAATCCAGTGGAAGAGGGTGACAACATAAGACATGATAAGACACTTATACGTATCTTATAGTCTTTGTGACGACCTGTTTCATGGTTCGAATGTTTCATGTTTTTGTTCACAAAGAATTTCCAGACATTTCCAGAATATACGTATATTTTTGTGACTACGACCCCTCTGAAGTGGGTGTACATGGATACCCCCTCAACAGACATTCCGCACGAAGGATTGAAACGGTTCTAAATTCAAGACGGCTTGTCCAGCATCCAAAAGGACTTGTGAGTGCACATCCTGTTCAGTCGCTCCACACGGCTTCTTGCATGTGCTTGGATCTCGGATCCTGCAGTGACCACTCCATCTAGTAGTCTAGTAGATAACAGCAGTCACACCATCCCCTCACCATGACACCACCATAGACAATTTGGCTCGTACCTCGCATCCCCAAAGGAACGATCACCTGCAGTGACAGCTGAGTGCCAGGCCTCCAACGGCGCTGCAGGTGTGGGTGTGTGCGAAGCCTAGCAACATTGGAGACCCAACGAGGCAGCGGTTCCAGCGGCTCCATGCAAGGCTCGAGATCTTGCGGTTTCAGAGTAGATGGCGCGGGACCCCAAGATGTCTTGTAGATGGGGGGGTCCATATACACCACCGACCTTGGGGATTGTGCCATCGACTCTCAATTTACAAACAATGCTGGCAGGTGCAGTGGTAGTGTTCCAAGTCATTGCTCCAGGTACAAGCCAAGCCGTTGGCAGGTTCCAAGCCAAAAGAGGAACCATCCCAAGTTCAACCTCGTACAATACACATATAATGCATATATAATATATATAATATACATGGTTAGCTGGCTCAAAACTAAATCAAGGAAACAACAAGACTGCAAAGGGGCCCCGCAAACCGATGCTTCGATTGTGTTGGCTCAGGAAAACCTGATGGCTGTCCACATTCCTATGCAGTTGCCTTTTGGACCTTGATGGTTTGTCCACCATTTCCTGACTAGCTGTTCTCTTTCTTGGGTGGCGTTTCCCTTCCTTGAAATCTTCCATTCCAAAACTCATATGTGTGGTGGCATTTATTTGGTATTAAACTCAAATCCATTATGTGGGGGCCCTATCTCGTTTAGACTACTTAAGTAGGAGGTCATGTCACAGTATCTCGTTCAGACTACTTTAGTAGCAAATCACACTATCTCGTTCAGACTACTTTAGTGTCGTCAAGCAAAAGTATCTCGTTTATGTGGGGGCCTATCTCGTTCACAAGCGAATACTGATGATAGACAATCAAATAGAGCATGCCGTAGACTACTTTAGTAAAGCCTAAATGAGCGTGGTTGCTCATATGCTTTGCTGATGTCCTCTTTCTCTTCTGAAATTGCTTTGCGTTCCTACCTTTCTGCCTATCCTATTGTTTTGTTACACACGAACACGCACACAAAGGATCAGAGAGGACTCTTCCGGTGATTTATTCTATTTTAACCAGCTGCTCAATCATGGAATAGTGTTTCTCTTTGTATGGCTCTTCCTCGTCTTCAGAAAGGCCCTCCTTTTTCCGTGTGAGCACTCAAACACAATTGTTTTCCTGTCTTGGCCCTGGTTGTCACATTCTCACAAGCTCCTTCCTGAGTCTCGAAGATTGGTACGTCAAGAAGGAGAATAGCAATTTGATCTGCAAGAGCTGAACTGACAGACCCAAAAGCTATGGAAGGGAAAGGAAAGCAAACTCAGATCAGGAACGGCAAAGAGCTGCGCTACTTAGTTCTTGAATAGGACAAAACAACTGCAATGAAACCAACACAGGACGAGCTGAAGAGAAAGAATGGAAACGCATCTCGTAGAAACAAAACCAACCAATCACAAAAGGTAAAGGAACTATACTGTAAGTTAGAAGTGGGGCAATTAACTGAAGATTGACAGGTCTTGATAACACATAAGTACGGTATAAATGAGAGATGAGACAAAGCATCGGAACAAGTCAGCAAGTTAACACACCATGCAACACACAAACACATTCAGTCAAAACGGAATGGTTTTGGTTTCCACATGTTTCCACAAGGGCGGCGCTAAGGGTAAGGTGCTAAGTTTCTTCCAAACACTGAGCAACTGTTTGTGTCTTGGGTGTGTTTCAAAAAAGGGACCTTGCAAAGACAGCCTGGAAGAAGGAACACATACCAAAACCCATTCCCTGAAATGCACAACCGTATATAGCTATATATATATATATGTTTATTTTTTGTACTATTTATTTCATGTACATATTATATATATACATATATATACTGTAAATACTATATACCCATCATATTTCTACACTGCAAGACTTGCCCGGCCCTTGATCAACCCTGCTCTCTGCACGCCTGCGGAGAAGACACCGGGGAAGGCACTGAAGGCACTGGGACCTGGGACGGGACATCAGAGTGGCTTTCGGAGCAGACCTTGACAATTGATATTGATTACAGTAATTAGTCCTGGATGGCCAACTATGTCCACATGGACGGGAGTATACTGTATTTGTCAGCCACCAATATATTCTAGCTACTCTGTTAGCGTTGGGGTGGCCTTCCGGCTCAAAGGTAGTTCCTGAGCATCAGCCAACAGCCAATATCCATCTTCAAGCGCTTTCAGCTTGACTTGGTGTCCATGGCTTGCAGTCCGCCTCGGTTTTCACTTAGGGCTCACCAGCGGAAAAAAACATAGTTTCACTATAACAAAGCTGGAACTTTACCGGCAAAACCCTTGCGTATCCGGCATGAAAAGCCATGTCCCTGGAATATGGTCATGCAGGAAAAAAAACATGCAAACTGAAACACCAAATGGACCATACAAGCCCCTTCGCCTAAGCAATCATGAGGTCTGCCGCACATGTCATGGAGTTGTTCTGCGCCCAATCAACCCCGAGGCCAGAGTGCATTTCTATTCGCGCCTAGTCGAACATGTCGAATCGTGGGTTGCCAACAAGGTTGGCTAGCAACTAGGCTCTTGCGGAATCTCGCTTTTCGCTAAGATCTCTGCAAGTGTCCCCTGCTGGAAGTGTGGAAATTGAGACAAACAAGATAAAACATAGGATGCACTTGGAAATCAAGGATGCACTTGGAGCCACCTTGGATACTTGCAGTCATGAATCTTAATGCCCAAAGAAGATACAAGTCGACAGCTTATTAATGTCCACTTCACCAAACTTAATTCTTCGTGCTACAAACCCTTTTGATGAGAGCGATGTCAATTCTTGGGAAGATTTCCGTGGATCGCTCTTCTTCAGCAAGCAGGAGAGGTGTTAATCCACCAAGACAGCACTCTTGAACGTATACGGAGAAAGGGATCTGTGGTGATAGCCACCTGTGTCATCTGCAAATCTCCAAACTACAAATATTATAGTCAATCACTACCAATGTTTCGCACACAGCGACGGGTCTAAATTGTTGGCACCCAGGTCGTTTTTGATTGTCAAAGGACCCATTGAACATATCCACACATAACTGCCTGTGTGCCATCAATGTGGCAGCGACCCAAAAAACAGGAGGATGCGATACCCGACTAAGGGTCAGAAATATCATGTTCCAAAAGGCGCAAAAGGTAGCGCCCAACGTTTTGTATTTGGAAGGTCAATCGACTCCACAGTCACGGTCACCGGTGAAGTGCCTACTTGGCGCAGGGAAAGGATCGATACCAAATGTGAGGTAGACAAACAGGTGAAACATATGTCACTTCCAAAGAGCGTGGCTACATGTTTGAGATGTGCCATGCAAATTGACCCTGATAGAATTGTATCAAAGCCTCGAGTAGATAAAGCAGCAAATTCGAAATAGGGGCCGACACCATGCTGTCTGCAAGTCCGCTAAATATGGTTGCGGTTGATGTTTATCTCACGTTCCTGTCAAATCATCACGCTAGAACTCACCAGTTCAACAAGGAAAGGGGTACAAACCTGACAGCTTACGGTGAGCCATAACCGAAGAAATGTGGCTCAACGGACTCCAACGATAAAGGTATAGTGGTCCCCAAATAGATGACAGTGGCCCGTTTTCCAATGCATCTTAAGTGGGGATCTACTTTTCTATCTATTTGGGGGACTACACCCTGGAAGACAAACATGGACCCTGAAAACCACTGGTGGGTAGAGGAAAACACAATTTTTCCAGGAGGCCATTGTCAGGGTCCATGTTAGTTTTCGGGAGTGTAATACAGTATCCAAACTGTTTAACGGAATCGGCGCGACAGTCTAGTCTGCATGAGTATCCAAAATGTGCCCGCCGCCGCGCGGCCGCGTTGTTCAAGGATGAAGTCTGATAACAGGTCCCAACAGACCCCAAAAAATGGCTCATCCTTCAGATCAAGACATCTTACCAATGTTGACCAATCTGATTGAGGTGTGGACTCAAGTTCAATCACATCAACCTCTCAATTCACGAATCACTTTCAACACTTGCAAGATCCTGCTATCAACATGAAGCATTAACGATGTCTTGAAATTATATTTACACAAGCGGAATTGGCATATCAATTGCCGCTCGGCGATCGTCCACTTGAACTGCAGGCACGGAAGTATTCTCCCCGAAAGCTGCTGTCCAAGAGAGCAGCTTTGCTGCAATTTCCGGAACTTACATGGCAAACAAAAACGGCTCGTCCTCATCCACCTCCTGACTGTCGACCTCTGAGACCACCTCTGCCATCTGGTCGATGAAGATGGACTCGATGAACTCATCGAAACTGGGGACGTTCATCGCCTCGGAGCGACCCTTCGCGCTGCGACTGGTGATCCCACAGGCATCTCCAAGGCTCCCAGGTCAGTCTTATCAGAAACCAGGTGTGTATTCCCCTGGAAGGAAACATCGACCACAACCCGTGAAAATAGGGCATTCCCTATTGCAACCCCCAATAAGGTTGGACTCCGACCATGCAGGCTGGTAAACCGAGAGCCAAAGACCCGGTAAGTCAGCTCTTCTGCTTTAAGAGGAAAATGCGAACCAACACTAAAACGATCTAAAACGGATTTTGCTGAAGCCTCTTGAACTCAGTTGCATGCAAGAAAATGTTTACCGTACAGCTCACGTGCTTACTATGTGGTTCTTCTTTGGAGTTGATGTCTTTTCCGAGGCTACTCACCAAATCAAGCCCTGTCTTCGAGCTGAACACTCCGGCTGATGCACGAAGTAGCCAAGATGATGCCAAGTTAAGAAGCCGCGATGAAATGGCCTTCCAGTCTGCATTATGTGCTATATTTAAGAACAAACATGAAACGTATAAGTTGGCATCTGAATGTCCGCAAACAAGCTACGTTCGTCGTCGTTCGTCTATGTTACATGAAAAGAGTAGCGTTTGTACTTGCAAAGCCTTATTAGGTAGACTAATGAGGATGAGGTCCATGGATAATTTTGATGAAGCCATGTCAGCCATGTATTATGAAGCTCCACTCGCCAGCCCATATCTGGTTCAATCTAACAGCGGCTAGCTTCAGGCTTGAAAACAAGTCCCAGCGACCCCTTCAGGAAGCAAACCATCTTGTCGAGCTTCATGCTGCCAACCGTTTCGCTGCCCAACATTTCGCTCAATGGCTGCGATGCCGGCGGCGATGTCGAAATTGTCATGTCAAGCCCTCTCCCGAAGAAAAACACATGCTTTTAAGAGCAGCTCCTTGCTTTACTTGATGTAGGTATACGATCAATTGAACATTCTGCGTGCGATATTCAGAACTATGCAAAACGGACGAAGTGACTAAGGACTAAGTGACAGTTAGTGAAAGATAGCCAGCCAAAACCTCAGATATATACTCATTTGCTTCACAAAACCACAGCCTAGTCCAGTTGCCTTCACTCTTTCACATTGAAAACACATGTTTTCCTATATGGCAACCCCTTTTCTTTGGCAACACCTCCTTGGTTGGACCCCTCACAACTCGTCTCACTGGTACAAGTCACTGCTGTAGCTTTGCCACGTTGGACACAGCCACTGCCAAACACCTTGATGTTTCTCACCTTCCGAATGAGACATGTTCCTTGTTGACCAAGTTCGATGTTTTATCCTTGGCATGTTCCACTTGACCGAGTTGGCATGTTTTGGTGACCTCAAGAAAGGGCAAATTTCTTAAGGTCACCTGCACAAGGCAAGGTTGCTTTTTTTGACGAATCGATCTCTGGCAAAGCTGCTCGCACCCCATGGCAAGCTGCTTCGAAAGGCCTTGACAAACTGCAGCTGACCATCCTGCTTGATGATGTTTGGTTCTGGCGACCATCAAACCAATCTTCTGACATCGGATCTTGTCAACTGGCGCATCTCCTGGCGCTGCCGTAGCCCTGCGATGCCCGCCTGCCGCCGCATCTCCGTAGGTCGGCGCCCGGGCCTTTGCAGCCCCTCCGGCTGCAGCCTCCGCTAGTCGGCGCTTCCAACTGCTTCGCTCATCCGTCCACGACTGTTCTCACTGCGACTGGATCCGTAGTTCTCGAAGGACGGCTCAATGGAGTTCACGTTCAGCTCTTCCGAGAATCGGCAGCAGCTTTGGCTCTCATATCTTTGAAGTGCATCGTGCGGCGGATCTCACACTTCACCCAGTCCTTCCAAAGAATGTGCGTTTCTCGGTTTAGCTCGATTGAAAGGTAGCAAAAAAGGCTCTTAAATGCTTGTAAACACCTCTCAGTCACGAGTGAAAGGGACACAGCTTTTTGGCCGGTGGCTCATAGTTGAACCACCATAAGGCCATCATGTCCAATCCATCTAGGCCATGGAGTGTTTGGTTGGATACCAAACAAAGCAGTTGGCTAGTTCTTTGCATAATTTTCGCTACAAGAGTTCTGCATCAGTTCCCTAAAACTGGATGGCCCCCAAACACCTTTCGTCCTTCATTGTCAGTGTCGCCCTGCACCTTTCAGAAACCATTGTACTACTGTAGTAGTTAGTGACCCAAAGCAAGCCGCTTCCTCTTCACACAAATCTTTGCTAATCTATCTACCTCCACAAATGCCAATATTTGGTTGCCAATACCGACTTTGATCCGCCAGGCCACACCCAATCCAATTCGTGCGACCCCGGTCACAATTCGTGCGACCCCGGTCCGGCGTGCTTGGAATGGCCAGCATCAACACCACCACAGCCACCGCCACGAGGTGCTCCAAAACTAGCGAGGTGAACGGGAACCACAGGAAAAGCCAATATCTGGACCTAGACCTAGAGTTTCTATATGTCTTAAGAGAAACTATGAGAAAATCAGTTCAATTAGCTATTGCCTATACAGTATGACAACGGTGGACATGACGAACAATAACAGTCCCCCAAATCTGCCTCGACATCTTAAAAAATAACTTATAAAGGAGAGAACTGCCAATCAATGGGGTCCAATGTTTTTGCCTTGGCCAGGTGGTTCCTGCATGATGTCCCGGCCTGCTGCAAAAAAAATCACATAGCGGCCGGCACCCTGGCGGATGACCTGACATCACCCGATGCGGGTTACCCGGATATTGGTCCAGCAGCCAAGCATCGTTGAAGCAGACTAAATTGGATGAATCAATGACACAATGACATTAAATGACTATGTTACTATTGACTATGTGACCATAATATAAATATTCCACCAATAAATGGCGGAATGCTTTTGAAGATTGCATAAAAAATACTTGGTCTGAGCTGACCCGTGAAGAGCATCCCGTCAAAGAACTACGTGAAGAAGGACTCACAAGGTAGCGTCTGCTGCTGTCTCAGGATTGGTTAAATGAATCCACACAACACAACTCTATAGGATTTGGGCAAAAGTCATGAAATACTCTACCCGGCCTGCAGTTGGGCAATCCCAGTCAGTGTCGGGAGGGTAGATATCCCCATACATGGAGTCCAACTGTGTCAGAGGTAGGTCAAACAAGTCTCAAATTGTAAATGCAAAGATTTGTTTAGGGCCAGCTCACTGACTCTGTATTGGAACTGCAATCCCTACGTTTGGCAAATTGATGCAAATTGTAAGTCATCTGCAATCGCATGCAGAAAGTTCATGGGCGTGGAACGTGGGATTCACGTGTTAGCAATGTTTTATTTATCCCGGAAATAACACAACACGTGAATTGTCAAACAGAACCGTCGGCTAACCTGGATAGTCAACGACCGTCGGAGTTCGGTGCACGACACCGGAATCTCACTCGGTCGCAACGTAACGAGCGCCAAAGGGACCGATCTCCAACGCTCGGGACCCACGGGCCACTTGACCAAAAACGGGGCCCTCGGGAGTGATCTGCAAACCAAGAAGCCAAGTCCGCTGTTCCTGCTGCTTGGTCGACCGCTGAGGCCAAACGTCCTGGTGACGGGGTGGGATCCAATATCTTGAGCAGGTTATGGCATGGTGCATTTGAATATGTTTCATCGTGTTTGGGTGTGTTTCATGATGTTTCATATAAGGCCAGTGTCTATTGACTGCTTTGTTGGCAAAGGTCATCTAAATGTTGGGTTGGTGCTAATCATTGAACTATGTTTTGTATCATATACAATGGTACTTACAATGTTCATCTCCTGAATCACCCATAAACAGGCAAGTTGACCCAAACCACATGGGTATACGTGTTTTTGTTTTTAAACCATCATGTCAAACTACTAAGTAGCCTCTTCCCCTTAGCATCAAAAGCAAACCTTGAAACCCAACATATGTGTATTGACTCGTATTCAGACTGGCTGAGAAGAACTTAGTTCTCGGTCATTTCAGGTGAAAATCTGGCATGGTTTTATAACATGTTCTTTGTCCAAACGCCCCAACTTGCCAAGAATGTCCAATGTTCAAGTCAAGTTGGTGTGTCCCTTCTTTCCCCCCAATGATGTTTGCATGTCTCTCCACTTCGTTGTTGTCCCCTTGGGCTCTACAGTACTACATCTTCGTCGGCGTCCTTGTTGTACATCCTCCAGGCTGGCCTCTCGGTACAAGGAAGGCGTCCAAGAAGCCAATTGCTCACTCATCACGAAGATCATCACCTCGCCCGCGCACGCCTGTCGTGTTCCTTTGGGTTCACGATGGTCTTTTTACGGGTTTCTGGTGCAATGGGGGGGAGGGAGTTCCTGTAGCCAGGTTTGTTGTAGTGGGCACTGCAGCTCGCAGCTTTCAATCTGCACGATGCGATCTGTTTCTTGCAGACTGCATCCTATCCCTCTTCACTTAGAGCCATAACCATGTCCTAGAAACCAGTGCGTCTTACCATACCAGGGTCATTATATCTTGAACCATGAGCCTTGGGGCGCCAATTCCAGGTCTCACAGCCGCAAGAAACATCATCACAAGTCAAGACCCAACGGTGGACAGGCGGCATTCGTGATGATGGAGATGCCTGCGATGATGTGCAGTAGTTGTCTCCAGATTCCTCGGTGGGCACCAAAAGATTCAGGACTGGGATCCGGATGAGGTCGATTTTTTCATGTCTAAGCTTCATAACGTTCACACAGCATCCGAAGAGTCATCAATGAATCAAGATGTTGATATGTTTCTGGTTTTTGCAAACATGATTATGCAAAAAAAAATCTGGGCATTGCCCTACCCGCAGAAATACCAAACATCTCAATGGTCTAGCAAGAGTCGAGTACATACGCATGGCTGCGAGTCAAAAGCTGCCCCACCAAATCACGTTAGGTTGACATCCGCTATATATATGTATTATATAAATATGCTAGCCCCCCCAAAACCCAACTTTTGTCCTTGGATGCAATCATTCAAAAAATTGATATTACTGCGTGCAGATGCAACAGAAGCACTAATTGAGGATAGTTTGTAGATACATATTTTGAAGGTTGCGTTGCATTAGACACATAGATGTATGTGTGCAAAGATGGCAAACGCACCACTTGAATGTAAGTTTGCACCTTGAGTGTTGTACCAGAAGGTTTACATGTTTTTATGGTCTTAAACCTTGGCGCACAAATAACATTGTTTTTGCAGATAAACATAGATCCAACTAATGCAGATGAGTACTGCAAGTAGTAAACAGAAATGCACCGATATTCCCCGAGGTTATACAGTGTAGGCTCAGTTGGCCTCGATGAACTTTGCCATCTCCCAGAAACAGAGAGAGCCTGTGGCAATCCACATGTCCCGGTTGCGATGCCAGTACTCATACTGCGCAGACCGGAGCTTTGCTCGGAGGGCAGCACTTCCGACACGGGATGCCTGGTTGATTTGCAGACGGTCCTTTATAAGAGTCGCCACGCACGATAAATCACTTGAGTTCCGGCCTTGCAGCGGACGAGAGCCTTCTGCCCCGGCACTTTGTGGGCAACAACGCGAACATAGTTTGGCATCTGCGATTTCCACTTGCCACCGTTCTTGACTTTCTTCTTGCAATGAATTACCTTGTCATGCACCACACCCGGGATCTTGCACTTGTAGGACTTCGCAGCATCTGTGTACAGGATCACATGCTTGTCCTTCAGCCATTTGTTGGCCAAAGGTGTCCACTCACTTTTCGGATGGCGCCTGGCCATGGAGCGCGGACCTCTGACATCTTGGGACCAGAGTGGCCATGGTCAGGTCATGGGGTCTACAGTTTTGGAGTTTTGGAGTTTGTGAGGGCCTCCAAAACTCCAAAACTGCACAGGCCTATGTCCCCAGAGTGGCCATGGTCAGGTCATGGGGTCTGCAGTTTTGGAGTTTGGGAGTTTTGTTTGGTTTTCTATATTAATATGATGTTGTTATATACAACAATCTGCATAAAACACTCCAAATACCACTAAATTTGATGAAAGGGTGTTCTTTTTTTGGGGGGGGTACGGGGTACCATATATATATATTAATAAATAAACATAATATGACAAATACAAACATCTGTTCATTTTGTCGGGTCAACCAAGGTTCCCCAGGGACTAAACACGTGCCAACACGCGACCCAGTGTTTGGCTTCCGCGAGGCAGCCGCCTTAGCCTTATGACTCGACGGCCTATCATCTGACTACGGAGGTTTTGAACCGCGGATCAGTAGATGCGAAACGTATCTAAACGTTGGATCCACGGTCGTATACGCAAATGATCAAACAAGCAACATATAGAAACCTTTGGGGCCTTACGCTTTGCAATGAAAGTCTACACATTCTTCCCAACACTCGGGACCACCCTTTTGATCCCTTTTGCCAAGAGTCCGATGGATTTCATGCGGTGAGAGATTGGTCTCTGATACACCTGGGCTTCAAGTGGATTTCCCCGAAACTGTTCGTTGGCAAACTTATTTGACATTCCAAACATCGTTTGGGGGAGCATGCCAAGAAATCAAAACAACATGGGTCAAAACAAAAACAGTCTTGCTAGCGCTGCAAGACTGTAGTCTTTTGACCTCATTTTGACCCATGCAAATCTGAAGCAAATCCAGGGAGACGCAGGCCAGCTTGAACATGTCAGACTTCAACTCAATCAAATTGCCTCACCGCTGCGCATGGTTTTGACATGCTTTGACCACTGGAGAAGATACTTGCTAGGGTTCTAAGATGTTCTAAGCGTTGAAACATTGCAATCACAACTACACAAGGGGATGAACACATTCTTAATGAAGGAACTGCTGTTGAAACTCGGCTACAGCGCTTGTGGAAGGCCTTACCCCAGGGCACGAAGATTCTGATCTGAACAAAAGTTCCCCATCTCCAGCTCCGGAAACACATTGAACCACGAGGCAAATCCAAAGTCTTGAGCAGGAAACCCAGCCCAAACCAAACTATGTCGGTGTGCGAAAGGGAAGGACAAACACACCGAGTTCACTGCAGTTCACTGGGGAAGTTTGTTCAGTTCTCCAAACCCTGCTTTTGCTGTGGGGAAGTCTTGAAGTCTTGAACGTCCTAAAACTGCAGTCCAGCGGCTAACGAGTGACACTACAGCTGCCAAAGGAAAGGCTGATGCAAAAAGCGTCACATAGCCGAACTCTATGACCTTGGTGAAGCTCAGCACGCTGGTTGAGCAGCAAGGCGAAGGCATCGAACGATGACTACCTCCGGCACCTGGGTTCGGCCTCACCAGAAATACTTCCTCACCTGGCGCCCGGGGCATCTCATAGGGAGACACCCTAATAAAAAACAAAAACACCTAAAAGCAACATCATAAACACCCATGCAAGCAAAATGCATCAAGTGACGTCAAAAGACCACCATAAGAGCACTATATAATATCATAATATATACCTTGCTTGCGTGATGCACAACTCGACTCGACCCGCACCAAAAAACGTGACCGCCCAACCAACGCGTCCGCGTCTGGCGATGTTCGTTCTCCACTTCTCCACCGACGAGGTCGACTTCGACGAAACGACGTCCGTCTCGGCCCAGAAGCCATTTCCAGGAAGTCGTCGAACCTGGGAGAAGTGGTCCGGATGGAGCGGATGACATCGTTTTGTGGACATTGTGAGAACTTGGTGAGAACAAATCATGCTCTCCACTGGTGATAGAACAAGGCATTTTTGGATGTGTATTTAAAACAGAAACTGTGTTTTGGTGCCAATCTATTTTTGGCCATCGTTCAAGGTCGCAAAATCTGTCCAACAGTCGTTTGAAGCCAAATAATGAACATTCCCCTGGTGTCACCTGCCCACCTGCAAATGTCCTGTGAGACCAATTGTGCCCATCTCAGGTTTTTGAGAAAAAGACATTAAACTATCTATATATAATATAACATAACATATATAATATATATATATATATATACAGTATACATATCTCATCTTATATCTAGGTCAACTTTCTGAATCGTAGCTTCTGAATCGCAGCTAGTTTCTGAATCGTCTTCTGTTCCTTATACTAATCTTCAAACACCAGTGAGAAGGTGGGACTGCTCTCCTTTTTTGCAGAGCATATTCCATCTGTATGGTCTCCTTTTGTAGTAGCCGCCAAACGTGCCGTGTCCACCTACCATCCCACACGTCTTCAAACAAAAACCAAGAAGCTGCTCGTAGTGAGGCTGATCCAGGACCTCCAGGGCCTCCAAAAAATGCGCTTGTTCCAACCTGCCGGGGCAGCTGTACACTTACAAAGGAACTGGAGTGTAGTGTGCTTATTAGAATGGTCTTGGAGCAATTCTAAACAGTCTAGACTAGACAAACTTAAAATCATTAATGATATCAAAGAGACCGGAAGATTAACATGTATCATAACATATAATATTCATAACATCCATTTCAATGGCTGTTAAGATTTCATGAAGATCCGCGGCAGCTCTTTCTCCTCTTTTTTTCTCCTACTATCTATGTGCAACCATGCAGCCTCAAGAGGTCAGTCTAACCATTCCACGAAAAATATAGGAACCACCTAGTAGCTGGCGGCTGTTCGTACAACTAGGGTCAACTAGGGGCAGAAGCTGCCACGGGGAATGGGGACATCTGTATTGCGTCTGCAACGCACCTATAGAAAGGTGTGGACATGTAAATCCGCAGGAGCTTTTCTCCCACTTGCTGTCCACCCCATTTCCGATGCTGGATGATGCCCCTCTTCAAATCGGTCGCATGAGGACCGACTCTTCAATTTGCATTAGGGAAGTCGCAACCTTTCAGAAGCCTCAGGGCCTGGATGGTCAGGGTCCAATCTCATCCAGCACACGGCGCAGTTGAGGCAATGTTTCGCCTCGTTGAAAATCCCTCATCGGCGCCTAAGCGGCTTTGCCGTGAAGATCAAATTCACTGCAACGACTGAAACAGGTGACCAGCCGGAAATCATTGCACGCCTCCAGGAAATCATCACCTCCAAGAGTTTCAGACATCTCCAGCATGCATTTGAATCTTTTTACTCATAGACCATATTGTTCATAGTTGTTGTTTGTATGCACTTTGTATATATATATATATTAAGCTTATATATTATATATGCATATAAGATCATGTGTATATATATATATATATATGCAGGCTTCTGGAATGCACAGTGAACTCCTTTCGTAGATCTCCAGCGGGAATTTAGCTCCGATCCATGCAAAACCAATTTGCTAGCCGCTCGGCAAACACCAAAAGCGATTAGGCTGGTTTAAGCAGCATCACATCATGCCTCGAACGTATGTGATTGTCACTGCTAAGATCCTGCAGCAGCTAGATATATTGGTAATTGTCCCACCAATTCTCCCACTATTTTACCCACAATACATCACAAGTGTGTGGATTGATTCTCCCCCAGTTGCAGCTGATCGCTGCAGATTCAATGGGGCCATTCCACCTTGGCCAAAGCTCATGCGAAAGATCACGGAAGCCAGTTCAACACTTAATATCTCACTGGCATACTGGCTGGTGCTGGCTGGGTTTTACATCTTGAAGCATCTTGGACAATCTGTGCATAGCAATGCCCTGTTTCTCCACCTACATTCTTGCCTCACCACCTGGCCTCACCACCTGCACCTCGAAGAACGCCACACCAAAATGCCCCCGCGTCGGCGCCACCCCCTGGGCCGGGTGTATCGCCTGAGATCTCCCTAGGCGAGGCGGATCTTGGCCCAAAGCGGGGAATGATCCGCGTAGCCACACTCTCTGGAGATCCCATTGTTGGGCGGAAAGCCGGGCCAGCACGTGCCGTCACCCACAATCTGGCTGGAGATCACCTGCCGAGATGAGTGGACAGGAGAGTACAATGTACAAGCCTTGAGGACTGAACACAGAGTATGACCAGGTGGGAGTGGGAATGGCTTTCATGAATAGTGAACTCTTGTTGAAATCGTGGGGAGCAGGGTGAAACCTGTTTTGAGCTGGCAAAAAAAGAATCACTGTGTTCATCTGTTTGGAAAGTAGACAATAAGCAAAAGGTCCCAACCCCGCAGCACTCAAGCTTCTGTGCATATAGCTTTTCTTCAACTAAACGGATTCGATCAAACCCTCTGTGTGTGTGATGTTTGGGTTATGAACCTCATCCCAGTCTTAATGGTGGAGGGAAACATGTCAGCTCAGGATACCTCAGGCACCGCTGCTACCGATAAGGCCGATTTCTCGAAGGGGCAACTTGATCTGTTGGCTTTGATGTGAGTAGCAAGATGGGCGTCACCCGCGTCAGATATCATTTGCCCATTGCCGCCACGTCGTCACCTTGTTCCTCTTTTGGCAGTTCAAAAAGTGTCTTTTCAGCCATTCAACGATCCTCTGCGTGATCAAGATTTCAAAGCTGACTGCTACAGCTGTGTCTCCCAACAGAAATAGTGGAACCGCCTTGTACCTGTAGCGAAGAGTGTGTGTGTGTGTTTGCAGTTTTTCAGTTAAACTCGAATTTCAGCCACGCATCGTCATTTGCTGACTGAGTCTTCTTCTAAATTCTAAGATGCGTTCAATATTGACCATTCCTGGCACCACATCTTCCAATTCTTTTACTGCACCAAGGCAGTCAAACAAGTCTTTCACAATCTGTTGGGACAAGGTCGAGCGCACTCGGTGCTGAGCTGCCAGCAAGTAGTTGGAAAACTCCCCCACAAACAACTTGCAAATGGCTGAGTTCAGTCGCGCAAATCGTCGCCATCTGCCTCCTTTAGCTGCATGCTCAAATAATGAAAGGCTGTTGGACAGCTCTTCAGCCTTCATGCCTAGGGAGCAACTCAATAATTGCAGGAATCTAGCGAATGAAGATTTCTCCATAGACCCCAACACATGACGACAAACGAGTTTGTGGCCCTCATCTGATTTCTCGACACGTATCCCTGACTCGAGCTTGAAGCTTCGGTCATTAGGGGCATCCAAGAACGGGGCATGATGGGCCGGCATGGTGGATGCCTCATCCAACATGCGGAGCAAATCAGCTGCTGTGTGTGTGCACGTGTCCGATGTCAAAGCGTTCGCTTCTGCCCTTGAAGTGCCATTGGACTGCACCCATGAAAGCTCTCACGCATACCGAGGCTGGGTTGTCCGCTGGTTTGTCCGGGCATTTCTGCGCCCTGCATTTCAACCTAAGTTCCACCCACATACCTGAGGTGTGCCAAATCGTACAAGACCACCAAGACGAACCGAAGCCAACATCTCAGTGGCACAGCTTCCACCTGCTCTTCGTGACCACCCTCTTGTCTTGGCCGGACCATGGCTACCATGGCGATTCTGCTTGTTCGGGCGTGTTCTGCTCGAATGGTGTCTGGTGTGTGAATTGTTTAATTTTCCTTGAACATGGAGATCCCGTTCTAGATCGTTCTAGTATATCCAGCCGTGTACTGCTGCATTTTCTTCTGTGGGGTCTGAACCCTGCAGGTTGGGCGGCGTTTTTGAGCAAGGCCTTGCGCATCCTTGCGCACAGCAGGGTTGTCCAGGTAGGACATTGTGGTACAGGCCTAACTAGGAGGAAACATACCTAAATGATCCTAAATGCAATACCTACTGCTACTGCACCTGCACAATTTGGTGTACAGCAAGCTCCCCACACAAAGGGGGAGAAAGAAAGAGAGAGCGAGCGAAGAGCGACCAGGCCCAGCAGTTTTACTCCCAGCCAGGCCTCTCCGACTTTGAGTGGGTATGTCCTCAGCCCACATCAAATCCAATCAGGAAATCAGGATAGACAACCATGACAACCTAGAATCAAAAGAAACAAAGCACCCCTTTATGCCCCAGAAATTGGTGGGAGTCTCCAGGTTTCCGAAGTACACACACAACGCAGGAAAATCATCTTTGGACCAAGGCTCTGAATGAAAATGAAGTCGATATCATGCTTTGCTGCCAGCTGCCTTGATTGCAGCTTGACCCAGGCACCCGTTCAAACCGCTGTGACCCCCACCTCTTCATGGGTTGGATGCCGCATGTGGACTTTGAGGCCAACGCGTGCGACCGATTCACATGCGGGGACTGATCAGGAGTTGGGATTCCAACGTTCCAAATCACTGATCGGTTGAATCGTCGGACTCCATGTTCCACATCTTTCATTACTGGTGTGCATGTAGAATATTAGACGAATTGTACCAGATGCATGTACATTTGAGTGCCCAATGGTTTTCCCGTTGAGAGGGGTGCCCAATGGACAGGAGTCGGATGCAGCTGGTACAGTGATCCATGGATCCTAACCATTGAACCCACCATCCACACGCCGCCCAGCGCCGCCGCTACGCCGCCCAGTGGCCATCCCCAGCCGGTCCGCTTCTCGAGCTCATGTTGCGCGCCCCTCCAGTCCAAGGTATTGAAATCGCCGAGGAAAATCCTCAGTGCACCGAGGTGATCCAGATGAATTCCGAGGTGATCCACATGAATGGCGTGGTGAAGCGGGGATGTTCTTCAACGCAGCCTACTCAAGATCAACCTGGAACCTGGTGTTTGAGCAGCAATACATGGCACAACTCTTTTTCAGGAAGTGGGGCCTGTTTCCAGTCAGCAGAACCTGCCACCACAAAACTGGAAGTCCCACTTTCAACATCCTGGAACAATAAGCTGTCACTTCAATCTTGGAATATCCCACCACACAAGAATTGGAGCCGATCGTAGAGGTTGACCAGCCGACAACATGATGCTTGGTGAGGGGATAACCCCACTTCACACTTCGAAGTTTCGATGGAGCGTTGTACTCTTCTGAGCATTTCTTCATGGCATCAGCTGCGATCTTGATGGACTCCTTCGCATACTTCACATTGTTGTTCCGCTGAATGGGGTGAAGACCCCACACCTTGGCTTGGTCTTAGGGAACAAAGAAAATGCATTCCCTCTCAAATAAAGCCTTTGGCTCAAGAGGGGATTTCCAAGTATGATTGTCCTAACAAGAAGCTCCGAAACAGTATTGGGTAGACCAAAAGAAGGGTAAATAACTGAACATTTACACAAGGGGCACACATATGAGAGCACAGGCATGGGAGAGCACAAATATCAGAGAAAACACACAAAACAAAACACATGAGAAGGCACAGGCGAGGGCGCACGCACACACTCTGACATTGGTTTTCAGTTACTCAACTCCCAAGTGGAAAGAAGGCGAGAGAGCCGTAAGGCGAAAGGTCATGTTTTAACAAAATGGTTTTCTCACTTGACTGCGGAAAGCGCACAGCGGCAACGCGGCTGCTGGTCAGCGGTGGGAAAAGGTTTAGGGGAGGTATCGTGGAACCACCATGGAAGCAAACAAGAGAGTGGAACAGCGTGGGCAAAAGTTCAAAATAGTCGCAGGTACGCCAGACTGATCAGGTATGGGTTCACTGCCAATTGCAAGCGTCTTCGTTGGCAGGAGACTTGCAATGGCACTCCTGCCCCCTGCGACTTGAAAGTTGAGAAAAAACAGAAGCTCTTAGTTACAGAGGTGGACACACACAGAACGCCGATATCGGCGGTCTGGAGGAACTTACTAATCACCTAAAAAGCCTTAGAAAGAAAGACAAGGAAAAACAAAAAGAGCAAACGAAGAGGGCAAGAGAGAAAAATAGGAGTAGTTACGAGGCCCACTAGTTATGAAACCTTCTAGCTACTGAATACTTAGCCGAAATGAATTACATGCATTAGTTAGCGAGCGGGACATTCGTCTTAAACCGCCCGCGTAGCTAGGAGTAGAAAAGGAGAAACAGAAGGAAAGGTACCGACACACAAGTGTGTCGAGTACCATTTCCTTCTGTAACGCTGGATAGCGGGTGGGATAGAAGCACGAATTAGGTTGCAAGGTGGGGGGGGTGTGTGGAAGTGCAAGTGTGAACAGTAGTTTCACTGGTCTCAAAAAGGTCATGGTGGGAAACATGGTGCGTACACTCTTGAAATCGAAAGCGAGCTTCGAAAATCAAAAACATTCAACACAAGCATGGACATGAGTCAAGTCCAAGTAAGTGGGATTGCCGTGAAGCCCGGCGGTGTAAGTTGCAGGGAATACAGTGGTGAAACAAAGTCCGTTAAGAGAATCCAAAGCATGGTGGGAACGGTGGAGTCAGTTACACGAATTCCGGAGTGAAAACGGCGCCTCCTTGCGGAGGATCACACCCAGCACCCAAGTGGGACGACTGAGCGAGTCACACTCTGACATTGGTTTTCAGTTACTCAATTCCCAAGTGGAAAGAAGGCGAGAGAGCCGTAAGGCGAATGGTCCAAGCACTTGTAGATGTTTTAACAAAATGGTTTTCTCACTTGACTGCGGAAAGCGCACAGCGGCAACGCGGCTGCAGGTCAGCGGTGGGAAAAGGTTTAGGGGAGGTATCGTGGAACCACCATGGAAGCAAACAAGAGAGATTGGAACAGCGCGGGCAAAAGTTCAAAATAGTCGCAGGTATGCTAGACTGATCAGGTCTGGTTTCACTGCCAATTGCAAGCGTCTTCGTTGGCAGGAGACTTGCAATGGCACTCCTGCCCCCTGCGACTTGAAAGTTGAGAAAAAACAGAAGCTCTTAGTTACAGAGGTGGACACACACACACACACATGAGAGCACACATATGTGAGGACACATGTCAAAGCACAAACATGAGGGCACAAATACGAGCACTGGTATGAGAGACTAGCTTGCCACGAAATCCGCAAAGTGAGGACAGTGAGGTTCACTAAGCGCTGTGCCTGCCCTGAAGATGACACCTTCCAATAGTGCTGTGGCTGCCACCAAATCTACACTTCAAAGTTCACAAAAATATGTGCCTATGAAAGCAGCACTTCGAAGATCACAAAGTTCAGTGCCTGCCCCAAAAATCTGCACTTGGAGGCGCGAGAAATCGACGCAGCGAGGTTCACAAGTTGTGCACGTCACAGGCTTCACAAAGTGCTGCGCCTGCCACCAAATGTGCATAGCGAGGTTCAAAAAGCGATGCGCTTGCCACAGCGTCTGCAGTTTTTGGATCACAAAGTGCTGCGCCTGCCGCAAAATATGCATTTCGAAGTTCAAAGTCGGGCGCGTGCCACTAAATCTGCATTTGGCGGTCCACAAAGTACTCTGCACACTGCGCCTGCTACGAAATCTGCAAATCATGATCTACATCGTGCAGCCCTGCCAGTGTTTTGCAGTAACTGGCAGCGACGCTGCGCACGCCGGTGAGCACCCTCGATCAAACCCAGAGAATCAAAGAAAATAATCAAATCGCCTGATCGGTAACAACAAACACTGGAAAAAGAACAAACAAAACACATCGACCACATCTTCAGCAATCCCAAGTCACGCAGAACTTAGCATCTCCCTTGTACATCATGGCACCACAAACCCCTCTGGATCCAGGTACTTCAAGTTCAGTGGCCCAAGCGTGGCCTCGGAGCATGGAATGGTGACTCGAAAACAGTTCATTCTACCTTTAAGTTTGTCAATATACGATATTAAAGAACACACACATACTCACACACATACAGTATATATATATATATATGTATTTATTTAAAACTGTAGGTAAATGAATGACTCTGCCGGGCCAATTTGACTTGGGTTCTATGTGAACACACCCGTATGATTAATGCAACATTGGAGTAAGTTTGGCCTGGACTGGAACAGACTTGGCTTGCAAATCACCCACTCCATAGGGAATCATCCACTCCATTTTCTTGCAGATCGTCAATTCAGGACCGGCTCCTCTTTCTTCCCCATCAACATGGTCCGAGAAACCCCAGTCGGGCTTGTGGAAGTTGTAGCCACACCAATCGTGGGGCTGCTTCCATTCATTCACCGACGCATAGCCGGACGCCTCCGCGATGTTCGCTAACTTGTTGTTCGTCTCCTGGACACTGTTGGACACTGTTGGCGGTTGACTGCTGCTCTCATGGATGGAAGCCACACTGGATGTTTCATCGTGCCAACTGTATCAACATGATACATATCAATCATGGATCTCATGCTCCAACGCCAACCTTTTTGATGTCATCACTCTCATCAAAGTGCGGCCATAATATTTGTATATGTATGTCAAAATATGTCGTGGAAATGATCGTTTTCAGCTCCTCGACCCATGCACGTCAAACCTTCAACTCCCTGAGTCAGCAGTGTGGCAGTGTGTCTGCAGTGTGCCCCGTGGTTTCTCTTCTCCTGTAAGTTGGCGATGTCCACGTCATGTGCCTTGAACATGCGGTCCATGGCATCGTACCGGGTGTTCCCAAAGAAAACGTTCCAAGACCTGGAGGATTCTGGTCTCTGAACATGGAACCCTGGAATATCCTGGGCTTTTATAACGATGCCCAGTGGCTTTTGTGGTCTTTTCCATCAGGACTGGGTCCACTGGATGTTAATGGTTTCCCTTCTCAAAGTGGGTTGATGGTCCTTCCTTGGGACCGCAATACTGGCTTTGGCAGGATCCTACTTCCAAGAGAACGCCACCTCCTGTGCGGCGTCCCAAGACAGGCGGCTCCAGGTGGCAAAAAGATGCCCTGTGGGTCCCTATTCGTTTTCCAGTTGGAGCCACATCTAATCGGGGATGAAGTGGTTGCCAAAGTTCACAACCAGAACCTATCCTCTTCTTGGTTTTTGGTAAGCAAAAACACAAGAAACTGACCAATTCTGACGGCAAGTGTATACTTGAAGCTGGCGCTCAAAGAATGTTGACCAAATCATACATGACAGCTCACTTGACTCATCTTGACTCCCTTTGTTGATCAGCCTCTCACGCCCATCCCTCCCAGGCCACATGATGGTCAGCACGGTGGGTGTGGGCCCAGTGCCGCCGGTCCAGGTGGTGGTGGGCCCGGTAGTGGTGCTGGCAGTGCTCACCGTGGTCGAGGTCTTGTCGCGACACTCCTGGCTGGTCGGTCGTGGTCGGTCTCCCATCGCCCGTGTCATCGGTAGTTCTCTCTATGGGACCAATTCAATGGGCTGGTGGTAGAGTTCCCCTAATTCTGACTTGGCCCGGTCTTTTTGAAACAAACCACTTACCGAAAGCTTCATCCGGGATTGCCACCTGTGAACTGTATCCAACACATCGATATAATCGGTATAAGTATAAGCTGAACCCAGGACCATTATCAAACCCAATGTCCCTACTCTTTCCTTGGTACCTTGGTGAGGATCTTCAGCTTTCCACGGAGGTCGAATGAGTGTGAGACGAGTTCTGCTCAAGGTTGACAGCGGCCGCAGTGAGTTGCTTTCGGCCGCCCTCAACAAGGCGCTTGTAAGTATTGGAAGTGTTCTCCATAGAAATTGGAAACACGCCAATTAGGCAATTGGTCCAATTGGTGGAAAAAAAAACACAAAAAAAACAATCAATAGTAAGTCCATGGTTGTGTACACTGATCAACGTTGGTAGGCTTTTGGTAGTAGTGACTGTGACAGTAGGGTGGCTGCTTTGCTTGCAAAGTACACAAAATTTGAGGGCGAGCTCAGTCACACTACTTTCAGTCATACTGTTCCAGTCGCGTATAGTTTCTTTGATTCACGTTTTTTCAGCAGGCAATTGTTCACTGGCTGCAAGCTCAGGCCATTCACACATCCAAGAGATCTTGGAGCTCGACTTAGGTGCTCTGACTTGGGGGGCTGGATCTGACCTGTCGGAGCAGGAAGCGTCATTGGATGCGTCGAGCATTGCGAAGGAAGCGGTCCTTGGCCTCCGCTTCCGAGGTGCTAGACTCAATACGGCATTTTTGGACGGTGGTAGACCAGCCTGGGCAGGTGATGACTTGGCCTCCTTGACGAACATGGTTCCATAGAAGTGTCCAAAAAGGTTTGAGCTACAGTGAGATGATGCGTGTTCTGCTGTCTCATTGGCATGCTTGTCTACGTTAATTCGCCACTTCCATGACCAGTCAGGGCTTCTTCGCCTTAAGTGGTCACTATGACTGGCGATAGGATCATTGACATCCTCCGCAGCCAGCGCCTTCGGGAGGGATGCAGCCACAGTCATCCGCCTCGGCAGCCTTGCTGCTGGTGCTGGTGGTGCTCGCGGTGGTGGAGGTCTTGTCGCGGCACTCCTGGAAGCGGTCTGTCCATTGAGAAGCTTTTGCCTGAGAACCTTTGATCTCACCCCAAGGGGTGGTTAATGGACACCCCTTAACGGTTAAGGGTTGGATAATCTCACCAAGACTCCGCGCTGAAAGCTCAACAGATATTGCAGTTTTCAGCATCTTGAAGATCGTAGCGGGATGTAGCGGGTATCAACCGCTGCGCCAAGAGGTTCCAGCCACTCCAATCTTGCGACATGGGATTGAGCAAGTCGCCCCGCACCCCCTGTTCCTTTCGGGACTCTTCCGCCTTCAGAAGTGTGGACATGGCCACTTCGCTCATATGCTTCAAGCGACTGATCACCGATCCGGGAGCGCTCACAGTTGGACAGTTCCATCCTTTTTGCTCATCGCTCCGCGCTCCGAACCGCGCGGGTTCCTTCCCCCGAAACTGCACACCGTGGTTCCTTGCGGACCAAACCATCCCTCACCTGGCGAAACCGAACCGCTGGAGTTCACGACTTGGACTGATCTCAGGTCAAGTATGGTCAAGTATGGTCAGACTGTGTTGACATGTGTTGGTGGCCTCGACCGGATTGACTGATCTCGTGGCCACACCGCAGATCCGTCCTTGGCCTCGGCTTCAGAGGTGGTGGATTCAGGGCGGCATTTTTGCACCGTGGTCGACCAGCCTGCGACAGGTTGGTTTGGTCGAGGCATCCCGCAAGAAGTGGCTCGGCCAGCTCTGCTAACGGTTTATGGTTCTATTTGTTTGAGACTTCGGCCGCAAGCTCTGCTTGGGGCAAGCAGGATTTTGGCAAATGACCACCATGCTGTCATGTCTATTCACAAATTACTGTATGTGTGGAGTGAATCTTCCACTTCTATAGAACCTTAGGAGCTGAACAACAACATATGCAGTGTCTCTGAGCATGCCGCATGCCTCAGGATATTATAAACATGTGCGGTGACATCATGTGACATCTAACCTAACCACATCTTGAATCTTGTATCACTTCTTCCTTTTTCAGCTCATTTGGCACCCTATCATCTGCCTTCTGGGGGCACACAGCCACAGTCATCCTCCTTCTCCTTCTTGTTGCAGGAATGCTTGCCTCATGGCCGAGGAAACTTCAAATGGTATTTTGGATTGAGACCCATTGTGCATGTGTTCAAATTGAATTATATATACATGTATCATAATATATCATATAATATCATATATCAATATCGTCATATATACATATACTATATTATATATACATATTATATATATATTACATTGACTTACATTGTGTAACACAAAATGAACATCTGCAAATCTCTAGTAGCCCTGCTCTTCCCAAGAGAACTCGTCCGTTGATCCGTTCCGGTACGGCTCTGGGCAGCTGACACTCGAAGGACCAGCCGCCCCAGCTCTCCTGGGGATGTGGCATGTGACGGAAAGGATGTCTTGTCAAATACTGAAGATGGTCCCCCCGGAAAAAATGAGTAAAATTAAAACAGAAGTCTAGTCTATTCAACATCCCAGACATAAGAATTGAGCCAATATACGTCATTTTTGTAGAGTGCCTGGTTCACAAGAGCATATATATAAAGGCGCTTGGACTTCCAACAGTTGGATGCTGATAGATACCTCAAAACTCGGCACATGGCCAGGTTTTCTCCAGTGAAAGCAACTGTTCTTTTTTGGAAGAGCAAAAAAGTAGATGGCCAGCTGCAGTATCAATATGTATCAATGCCTTTGTGGGCTGTTGAGTTTCAAGAGACTCAAGAGTCACAATAAACCTTTCTCCCCGAAGCTTCGCTAACACAAAACCTCTTCGCAGCCTCTAGGATTCTCACGGAAGAAGCACGGCCTGTCCTGGTAGTAGGGGCCACATTGCTTGGTGCCTTGACAACATTCCCGGAAGTAGGGGTAGTAGGGATCACCGCCCAAGGGCGTACATTCCTCATCCTCGCTTTGCAAGTGCTCCTGGACTTTGCCATGCCGCCTCAGCATTAATGTCAAGGGGGTTAGACCATGATCCCAGGTCTCAAAGTGGTAAATGATGGGTAGCTATCAGACTCCAATAGATTATCTATGATTATCTCACTAGATCCTGCCTGGACTGAAAGTAGTGCTGCTGAAACAACAGATTTCAGCAGTTTCATCCATGAATTCTTTGGGATGTTCCAAATGATTGAGGCCATGCGGGCATCTGATTCTTTTCTTTTGTGTGCGTGGGCCCCTTGACTCCTCAGCTGAGGTGCTTGACTCCTTGCAAGAGCACCACTCCTCCACCCTTGTTCTTGGGCTTCTCGCAGCTCCCATCTGCTTGGCACGCCATCTCCTCAGATCCCACCGCAGCTCCCGCCAGTGCTGCGAAGGCCCAAAGGGTTTTTCCCAGCGCCATGGGGCAGAGGCGCCGAACCAGGCGGGCGAGCAAAGATGATATGAACGGCTGTTCGTTTGGCCAAAGGCTGCGAGAACCATCTCACATTCTTCTTGCACCCTTTGCGCGATAAAGCATAGAATCCCAGGGTTGACTTGGTGAGTTTATTTTATTGGCCACACAAGAGGTTTTCTTCGCGGGAAAACAGAATAATTAAGATGTCGTCCCCTCGAGCAACAAGCTTCACCAGACTGCCTGGAAGTTCATTTGGCAGCAGGTTTCGATGCTCAAAAAAAGGTGACACCCAGATCATACACTGACACCCGACTCATGTCTCGCTCAGGCCTCTTGAGCTCCGCAGCCTGGAGGAGAACTATCCCACCGGTGTGGCATGTTGGCGTTGAAAAATACCTAGTCTACGGCATTGAACAAATGTATCTAATATATTCTAAGAGTAATTAGGGATCGGGATGATTCAAAGCCACAGGAAGGCAGTTGAGAAACAAACAAAAAACCTACAGTCAGTGATTTTCGCGGACTAGTGAATTCAACAGGAGAGGCATTTCAAACCCAGTGATTCAAAGGAATGGATGCACTTCAGTCTCTGAGCCACTTTTCCCAGTCACAAGCTTGCCTACAATTACACTCCGACTCGCTAATGAACATGTATATATAAGTGGAAAATGGTCCTTGGAAGACTACTTTCGTTTACGACGAACGAAGATACGTACATCATATAGATAGTTCCAAGTTGATACACCCTGGGTAGACACATTAGTTGGGAGGTCAAAGCTGGTCAAAGCACCATTCTCATCTTTCCTGGCCTCTAGGCTTCTGTAACTTTAAACTTTAAACCTGCATGTGGCCCAAAACTATAGGGCTAGAGCGGCTAGGGACTGTGGAGACTCCAGGATTTGTCTCTTTCGCGACCCTATCTTCCATCTCCCCAAGACTTACCACTAAGTGTTTGGCTCGTAATCTGGAAAAGGTCATCGCTGGGAGCACCCGCCAAACATTCTCATAAGCCCATGGTCTCACCGTCCCACAAAAAATACCATGGTCTTCTGATGCTTCCTGCGATATCCCGCCTGAAAACCACAAGGCTCGACACTCCCAAAAGGTTTGAGGGGCTAGCAGCTAGCAGCTCTGGGGGTTCAACAAGTATGGCACGAGTAGGACGGTGAAACATGTTAGTGCTTGAACATGTTCTAGACTGGGGTGTTTAAAAGAATTTTAGAGACACTATTTGCCTCGTGAGTGCGTTCCCTGGTGTCTTCCTTCGGACATGAGCTGAGAGCTGCCGCTTCTCGCGCCTTTCGGGAGAGCTGCCGCTTGCTGATGAGCTCCAAGACCTGGAAAACGAACGCACGCCGTCGGCTCACTTCGACCTGGTAAAGCCACTGGCCACCCTTCCACATCGACCAGCTGAGCTCCACACGAGAGGAAGGATACTCTCCACAAAGACCTTGGCAGGTGAGGACGCCCTCCCCGGTGCCAAGTCCACATGAAGGAACCCTGCCGAGGTCTGCCTACCTCGTCTTTATGTGTTTTCCTTTTATTATCTGATGTTTTATGTTTGTTTGCTTGTTTTTATGTTTTTTCTTTATGTTTTTGTTTTTAAATGTTTTTTGATGGAAGGGGGAGAGTGGGGTTTGCTCTTGGACTCTAGAGACTCTAGTGGCAGGAAGCCTGGATCCTGTTGACCAAGCCACTCGCCGCAAGCTGTCCACGCCATACAAACACAGCAGCTCTTGTCGTAGCTTTCGAATGTCCTCAGGGCGAACTTGGGGGCGTCCTTCCGCTCGACCAAGCCAATTTGTTCCTGTGTCCAAATAACATATACAGTAAAGCCATATAAAGCCACTCCCTTTCACTGGCATGTGGGAAACAAATGGGATGGGAGACAGGCCAGAGCAGCTCCTGTTGCACAAAGCCCACGTAGAAGAGCACAATGTAGCAATCAAAGGCTTCGAACATGAACCTGAGGTGAATGAAAACAAGGCGATTGACAGCCTCCTTTGCTTAGCGACCGGCTTTATTGCAACGGAAGAATAACTTCTTGGAACATCGAACATGATGCACTGGACAGCAGAGTCATTTGCCCAAGCAAAGTCTCAATGCCTCTCTCAGTGTTAGGTCTAGCTGCACCTCCGCTGGCCATTGGAATTATTTTAGCTCACCAGCACAGCATGCCCCCGGGGCAGCCTCTTCGCCATCAAGCTGCTTTGATGATGTTCCAACAACCTTGGATAAGGAGATAGGGACCTGCCAAACTAGCTGGGATTCACAAATGGCTTTCTGTGACAGACCTGCAAAGCTGGTATCCTGGCTGTCCATTGTGTCAATCACAGCGGTTCTAACACCTCTAACACTCTATTTCCAGATTGAGCATCTGGGACTGGCAACGAGTGGAAACTGACTTGCTGAAAGTCTTGTCCATCTTCAACAACTTGAGTCCATATTCCTAATGAGAAAACTAAATACAACTAATCATAGTTGGATGATAGTTGGATGATGCCGGATAACACTCTGCAGCCTAGCAACGCTTGTTGAACACATTCTGTCCAAGAATTGGCATCCCGGTCCAATAATCGTAACAAATCTTGTCATGTTCAGCTATGTTCGGGTTCTTTGGGATGTTCTTTGGGATCGGATACTTGTGGACTTTCTCCTGTTGACTCCACGCGTTCCTTCCGAATCCTTCCCACCGGAACAACACACTCATAGACCGCACAACACTCCAGGTCCCATGTGCCCACACCACACACACACACTTCAAACACACATAAGCGCGGTGCACATCTTTTTCTCGCCGCCAAGCCACTCGTGGTTCTCTTGTTCCGTGAGCCACTCGGCCACCGAACGGTAGAGCTTGTTCAGGTTCATGATCGCCTCGAAGAAGCTGCTTCATTGTACCGTACGTAGGGGTGAGGTCAGAAGACCTGATATACGACAATCTTCACAAGCTGCGTTGTTAATACACATACAGTTAAACCTGTTCAACCGACCCGAGATTCGGCTGGCCTTTCCATGTCCAAAACAAACTATGGTCCCTTGTCTCCTCAGCTTCGGAAGAACACCACCAACTGGGCGCACGCGCAGCAGCGCGCGCCCCATGAAACATGCCCATGGGCCCTTGAAACCGATTTCGCCGCCCCGTGCGAAACCTTGGCGAAGGCCGAACGCGGGACAGCCGATGTTGCCGAGCCACAAAGACATGGAGAACGATGGGGCCAAAGGCCAGGAGGCCGAAGTACTCCTCAGCGTTGGTAATTTGTCCAGTGGTATATATATATATATGTATATGTGTGCTATATCTTAGACGTGTTGGAAAACACCCCGCGGTTGGATGGTTTGGAAAGTAGGATGTTGCCTACAATGCCTTTTTAGGGGGGTTGCATCCCAATCAGCCTGTGGTTGTGAATGGCAGTGAAACAGCTATTGCTATTGATTATTGATTGTTGATTGTAGAGGACCCAAAACATCGGGCAACAAATTGTTTCCATTGGGCAACCACTTTACACCTGCTTCGTCTGTGTTTGAACCACGAAACATGATTCTTCACCAATGAGCACCCAGCTCATTTGCTCATATCCATGTGATCCAAAATCGTTCGAAACACAGATGTAATCAAGCGCTAAATAAATAGACATATATATATATGTATACACAGTAAATACATATATATACTGTACATATTATCATATTATATGATACATATATAAATAAGTATATCCCCCCTTTAGCCTTCAGCGGTTCCTTTCGTTTTGTTGCACCGAACACGCCAAAACCGTTCCCAGCCGTTCCTTCGGCTCTCAAAGAGCCGAGCATCTTTCTGGTTTGGGTCGAAGATAGCCCCATGGTCAGCCAAGCGTGCCAACGGTGCAATGTAGAAGATCTGAGCAGATTGTGCTTGTTTTCAAGTGCGCATGTGTGTAAACGAATGGTGGATGCAAGAAAAACAGGCAAAAACAACGGTAGTAAAAGCAACATCAAACGCAACTTGCTTTTTGAATGTCTGGATATTGATGTGAAATCCATCGCGACTGGAAAACGTTTAGTACGCCCTCCTACTCGGAGAGGGGACCGCAGTCAACTGCCACTCTTTCTTGGGCATATCCCATCACCAGGGCCCAGTGGATGAGGATGGTCAGTAAACGCCTTTCTCAAAAATATCCAAACACTCCATGTATGCAATATTTGCATACATTGGGATGGTTTGGGGGGTCAATGTAGGCATTTGTGTCATACACGGAGTGTCTGGGATAGATACTGTTTTACCGACTGTTACTGGGCATGGAACATCCTAAGTCTTTCCCATTTTGCAAAGCCATGACCCGCAGCCTGCTCCAAAGAGGTTACGGACTCTTCCATGAAGCCCTGCACGGGTGCCCGGCGGCGACCAACGGAACCGGAGGATTCTCTGGCGGGCTGTGGGCTGAGCCGAGCAAGTATCACCGACAAAGAGACTGCCCGGCTCGGTGAGAATGTCCGACTTCGAGTCATGTCGAAACCATTTCTTTGACCAATGAGAATCATGAGACATGCTCTGTCGGAGTTTGTCGGGATACATCCGACTGCCACTGTAAGAATTGTTCTTATGTCTTATGTTTGGTTTCAACAGCTCTCTCCCGCAATATGTTTGGATGACCACAACATGTATACATGAGTGACGCAATATGAGGGGCCTCAACCCATCTGCTTTCCCTACTGGCAGCGGGTGGGGCCCGGAGCAGTTGAACCCTCAAAGACAACCTACCCTCAAAAAGTTGTTTCACTGTTGATAAACTGGTTTTGACGGATGATGAACCCCTATGACACTTGTTGATTGATTGTTTTGGGGTTCATATCCAAAAGGCCACCACCTGAATCTTGCTTCTTGTCCATGCCCAACACTGGATGATGCCAACACACTCATAGAAACACCTGCTTGTCAAATCTGACACTCTGGGCGTCACGAAACAAGGGTCAAGATAGAAAAGTAAAACCTCTTTCAATATGTATTGGAAACATTTGGAAACCGTTTCTATCACCAGTAGACGTCGTCCAAGAAACAAGTTTCTCGGCCTGCAAGTTCAAGGAGCAAATCATCACACAAAAGGAAATCCTCACAGCTCACGGCCAAAGAACACAAACCCAAACATTCAGGGGGTCAATGTAAATATGTATATATATATATGTCTATCTGTCATACATGGAGTGTCTGGGACATATGACCACACATAACTAACCACGAAACCTATCAGTTCCACCATGGAGTCGGAGGATTTCATTGGCTCGGTGGTTTGCTTCTTCTTGGCATTCATAAACAATGCAAATAGGTCGAAATCGACCAACATTCACTGGCGTTTCCACGCCCGTGCCAGCCATCGGGAGCCAAGTCCAGTAGTTTTAGTCGAGAATCGCCAGCATCAAGGAGGTCACCAAGACCTAAGGCAGAAATTCAGTGAGTCACTGTTTCACTCTTTATAGCGATGACATGCGATGACCAGGATTTGGTGGAGAGACTATGTATATACGATTCATTGACATGGAAGTATACTTAACAAGGCCTCTGTTCTTTGCTGATTCTGAAAACACATTCTTGTAGCCTTCACTACATGCAGAAGCGGATGTCACTCTCGCAGCAACTTAAAATCTCACAATATCTCACAATTATCGACCGGTTGGAAGACTTCCTGCTCAAACAGGAAGAAGGAGTCCATCTTAAGATAAGGGCCCGATACATGAGTACTTCTGCATAGATGAACCTTGAGGGTTAGGTGTCATTGGAACCTGAACCCATCGCCAGGACACGGAAAGAGCGTAGGCCAGGAAGCGTTTCCCCTCCGGGTAGTACCTGGACAGTCACAGAAACCGCCAAAGAAACCCTGTCGTTCTCGGCCAAAAACCCGGCCCCCATTGTGGCCCCATTGCGGGCATCAAGTGATTTGGGGGCTTTGGAGGGCATCAAGCAAGTGCAAGATATGGTGCAAGTGCCCAATTCCTACGGACGACGCCCAGCACATTTGTTTGCGCACCGTCTGCGCACCTGTGAAGCTGCCCAGTGACTCGGCTGGTGCGCAGCTCCCCGACGAACTCCGCGCGGTGTTCGGGTCTGTGACGGCACGGTGGGCTGGGTTTCAAGACCCTTCACACTCAAACGAACTGAAGGTAATATGAGCCATATGAGCCGTGCCTTAATGGATTTTAGGTATCAATCCCCTGCTAGATTGCTTTTTGTGGACGGCCCATAAAGGTATCACATTCTCCTCACCTTGTTACTATAGCACTGGACACCACAGCATCGGAGTGGATTGCTGAAATGGGCCTTTGCAGTGGATTGCAAGTGTGGGCGTTTGGCCCATTTTAGGACTTATCCACCCTGTAGACGATCCCATAGACCCTGAGAAGAGAATCGACCACGTTTGGTTCCCCATTGCCCCGCCTGTTCTCCACCCCGTGTACGTTCCAGTGCCAGGCTTGGACGGCACAGTGCCGGTCCCAGCTTCGCAAAAAGCACATGCCCCAGAAGACCACAAAAAGCGAATAGAAGGGCAAAAAGGGGTCATCATCCACGGTGAAGCCAAAGAAATGCCTCAGATATTCTTCTGAAATACAGCACAAATTATGGAGAACACGGAAATTCTCTCGTGCCAACGATCGCACATTTCCCTGCACAAAGGTCAGTCACGAATGTGTCGTCAGGGAATGTGTCGTCAGAATGCGTCGCTGTGGGGCAACAAACAGGCCAGTTTGATGCTCTGAAAAAAGACAGTCTTAAAAGGTCTTAAGCCTTTTGCACTCCCAAAATTATCGGTTGTTGCTTCCAGAATAGAGGGGCCCCAATGTATGATATGTATGGCTCAAAATGATTTCAAACATAGATTTCCGGATGTCGTTCTTCTCTAATCGGGATATCATTCTTGTCTATTCGCTCATTGTAGATTCCAACGCAAAGGCACATCTGCAAGGCCGCTTAATACATGCCTCGTCGCATACGGAGGTAGAAGAGTAACCCCACCGCGGCTGGAGCGACCAGCCAAAGGGTAAAATGATTAAGCCAAGCAAAGTAGAGTGCCTCAGGCGCCGAGTTATTTTTGTTCACCAAAGCCCAAAAAGGACCTTGACAGCTTGGACAAGTGCTGCGTGAAACTGATACCAATGATTAGCATGGTCAATAATTCAATACAGAGATACACTACCTAAAAATTATGATAGTACTTGGTCCTGATAATGATGCATGTCCTGCACGCCAAACTATATTTTTCAATATTTTTCATGGTTGCTCTCGAGCCATGGGCTTAATAACCCTGTGCATTCTTCTTAGTCCTGGTCTGAAAGCAAAACAAACATGGAAGTGGAGAAAGGAAAGGACATTTAGGACGAATGACCAAGGCGTTTCTCTTCCAGCTTGGGATGTATGTATATGTGTTGCCACTTGCATGTTGAAGTTTTGGAAAGACTAAGTATGTATGAGGTTGGCACATTTCTGATTATGTAAAAAACACAACCGAGATCAAACTTGTGCAGCTGCACCTGAATCCTACAAAGTTCCAAAATCCAGACTTCGCAAAGGCAAGATCCCTTATCAGTGACTTTGATGCACTGCTCATCTCATCTAATTTGAGCTTACTCTCTGAAACCAAGCAGACCATGGGACACCAAGCAGAAGCAGAACAGCCGTTCGCCACGTGTCTCGCGTCTTATCGGGGCACCACAGCCTCCCAAGTTTCGGCCCAGGGCACGACCTCCGAGCCGAAATACCGTTGGATCCGGTCCACCGGGGTCAGCGCCATCCAAATCGCCTCCTGGAGGACGCAGGAAGCACAGCTACTGCCGTATGGTTGAAAGAAGGCCGTATGACCGTGGCGGTCTGGGCTAAGGCTTTCCGACGCCTGTCCCCAAAAATGACCGGCCGTATGAGTCAGGCCTTTTGTATCCTTTTGGTTCTAGAATTCTAGAACATGTGGGACGTCAACAGGAAACATTCTGTATTTTGGCACTCTGACATAATTGGATCACAATCCGATCCACAGTATAGAACTAGCTGCTTGGGTGTGGCCAAATCCCAACTTTTTCAGAAGAATCCACCGCCACCAGACGTCGGGCTTGGCTGGACGCTTTGCACCGCAGACGCAGGCGGCTCAAGGGCCTGAGCCGGCGTGGCCAGGCGTCCTCCAGTCGCAGCTGGTGGCCCTGGTGATGGAAGAAGCGCCAGGTTTTGACCATGCAGTTCCACCCCATGAGCCACCACCGCATGGTAGCGGCCTCCCTCCATAAACACATGAAACAGCCGGCCACAACAAGGGCAAGCAAAGGTGGAACGGCCCGAAGGCGTGCTTGATGCATCGTCCAAGTCGTAGCTGGGCATCTTGGGAAGTAGCGAACTGGCAGGTCGCTCCTCTTGTCTTCGAGATTCCTCAATTGCCAAGCGTCGTCTTCGTTCCTCTTCGGCCTGTACAGTGAGATCTTCCGGCAAAGTGGCAGAAGCCATCTGACGATAGAAGTCCGCACTGCTCGCTTCCAGCTTCCGTAGGGTATCCTTTCCTTCTCTGATGGCCTTCAGCCTTCGTTTCTCGGCATTGGCACGCCTCTTCTTTTCAGCTTCCGAAAGCTCTTGCATGGCTTGAATTATCACTTTGTACCTCTCCAGGGCCTCCTCCTCATCCGTGAGAACTGAAGACTCACTGGTGATCTCATCGTCTTCTTCATGATAGCGGCTTAAGGGGGCAATCTGAACGTCCAAAACCAAGACACTGGGATTCATCATTACCTCCTTAAAGCCAGCCATGCCATCCTTGTCATTCACCCTCACGATGGAATCACCTGGTCGGATTCGTTCTTTTGGGTGCTCCTGGTTCCACTTGCACGCCAAGCCACCGACAGCCAGATTCTGAATCTCTAAGGAAGGTTGCTCAAGTTGCATTCCAAGTTTGCCACCGGAAGATCTATCCAGTCGAATCGTATAGAATCTTGGGGGCTTCTGCATGTGCGAACTGGGCACCGCCTCAATCTTCAACACTGGCACGCTGCTATTCATCAACTCTTCGCTGTAGCCAGCTAGCCCAGGCTTACCATTCACCTTCTTAATCTTGTGTCCTATCTGTAAAGCTCTGGTGGGATTGGCATAGTTCCACTCAGCGACCAAACCGTCGGACTTCACATCTTTGACCTCCAAGGTCTTTTCATCCAGTGAAAGGCCTAGCTTTCGCCCTGACGCCCTGTCGATACTGAGCTTCACGATTCTGGACGCCTCCTTGGTGGCTTCTTCCTTCAGCTTCAGCTGCAAAGTAGCATATGCCCAATTGAATTCCTCCCCGCCCATCTTCCCGGTGAAATCAGTGTCAAACTCATCAAAAATGTCTTCAAGAACCGAATAGCTGGGAGCAGGGTGTCCTTGCATTTGGGCCACTTGCCGTGCCAGTCCCTTGAACTCTGATAGCGTGAGCATCTGATCTCCATCCAGGTCAAACTTCTCCCTGAGAGCCATCATTTGCGCTTCAGTCAGCCCTGCTGTTCCACTCTGTTCTGCTGCCTGTTTTGCTTTGGACTTGGCTGCAGCTACACCCTTCGGTGGTGGGGGATGTCCGTGTTGCGTCATCTTGATGACTTGCACCTTCTCACGCTCCTGGTTTCCTCGAACTCTCGCCTGAATCTTCAATGCTGCGGCCTCCTCGACCTCCTGTTGCAAGGTGGCATACGCCCAGTTGAACTCTTCCATGCTCATGGTCCCACTGCCATCCTTGTCAAACATTTTGAAGACATCCTTCAAGCTTGCATCGGAGGGTAACTTCTGACCCGTCATTTCTGCAATTTCACGTGCCTGAGAAAGGTCTGAGTCGGATTTCGACCAACAATATTAATTGAGCGGGCGGATTGTTGGGTGCTTTCAAGGGGGTTCTTAGAACATCTTAGAACTGGATTGTCCATGCATGATTATGCATGGGAGGTATGCATGTTACTCCCATTGCCGCTTTCGATCTCTACATGACGAGCTCTACATATCTCTAACAACCAAAGGAAAACTGTTGCGTCTCCAAAATCCTCCACGGCACCATTCCGTCAAACTCCTCCTCAGACAGCCTCTTGTCTTGGTTCGTATCCTCGGATGTGGCCGGGGGGTCGCACGGACACCATTGCGGCATATACTACTTTGGGGTTTCTCTTGCATGGGAGTTTTGGGCGGGTTGAGAGTTCAACCCACTTCAACCCACACACACATTAATAGCACACACACAAACACATGCTTTTTGGAAACGCCACCTCGACAGCTCTGAGATACAGAATGAACTCCCAGGAACCAGCTGTGGATATCATAACCGAAGGCTCAACTTTACACATCAGAGGGCACCCAGCAGTCGACTCTGGTGCCAATCCACTGTAGGGTGAACTGAAAATTCACCACCGCGCTTGAAACCCCCAGTATGGCGAGCTTCATACCTTTCCCGCAGCTGCGTCAACTGCGCCTCCGACAAGTTCGCCGTGCCTGCGGTTGCAGCCCGGCCCTGGGCTTTGGCCTTCTTGGGAGGCGGCGGTGGCGGCGCTTTTCCTCAGCAAAGCAGTGAAAGCCGGAAGATGGGTCTTAGTCGACGTCTCCCACCCTCAGTGGGGTTGGTCAGGGATAGTTGGAGATTCACTCCAGTCATCTCAAATCCTGTTGTCAAGCGTGAATGGGATTTGCTCTCTCTCTCTCTCTCTCTTATTTCTGAGGATTCGTGCACGCAAGACTGACGACTGGAGATCAGTGAATTCACAGGATTTGCCCTGTGGAGGGCCACGCAAAGTGCTTCCAACACCTGCTGACAAATGTGTTTCATCCAGGTCGGGAAAGATTCACAGTGCGGCGGGGCCAAAGTGATTAGGGGGGAATTTCCCAGTGAACCCATCCACGGCAAAAGTGAACACGATGTTCTTTCAACTTACTTGCAGGGTTGATAAAGGAGAAACAAGGGAGATCCTGCCTGCACAAATTGTTCAACGTTGAACGCTTTTCTTCACTTTGCAACAGTGCAAAATTGTCTAAGAGGGCCCACTGTGGCAGGAGGACGTGACAGTTCTCCCAGAGCTCTAAAGTTCAGGAAAAATCTCTTGAGCGGGGTCCAAGTCCAAGAGCAGTCTGTCAAGCCAAGTTTCCCTTGACCTTCGTCGCGGGAGCTTCCTGTATCTTCTTCTGCAAAGCAGCATAAGCCCAATTGAACTCTTGCCTAGTTGATGGTAGGTTTGACCTGAAAAAGAACATAATCTGCTTCAAAGTATATGGCTGGAGGTTAGGTTGGGTCGCTGATTTGACGGGGTTGCTTGCAATTCCGGAGAGGGAATCACATTAAATTTGGGTTAGGTCTTCCCAAACCGAGCGCACAAACTGACAGCTCTTGTCTTGGCTGCGGTTCAAAATTAAGGGCATCCAACAACAAATCGTTCTGGGGAAAACCAAAGGACACGTATCTTGTATCCCCTATTTTTGATCCGTAGCCATAGACGCTCATCAGCTAAGCGTCATGCTCAATTGATCACTGTCATCCTTGTCAAACTCATCGAAAATGTCTTCCAAGTCCTCTTCGCTAGGCAAATCCTTCTTCTGCAAGGAGGCAATTTCACGGCAAAGCTGGCTGAACTCGTTAAAGTCCAAACTTGCATTTGCGTTCTTGTCGTATTTCTTCTTCAAGTTTTCCAGCTGCGCCGGAGATAAGGCCTGGGTAATGGACACTGCAAAGAGCATCGGAGCTGAACAAGGAATCTATTTTATAGGTACTGTAGGTGGTTGATTCCAGGCTGACCCCCCGCCACCCCCACTCTTCACCCTCGCGACACAGGAAACGTGAAGAACATGTGGAGAATTGACAAAACATGAACATGTGCAAAACTGCTGGCGCGGTTTTCTCCGCTAGCAACAACTGCAGAAACTTGCGAATCCACTACAATAAAGACATACCACCACCACCACCACCACCACCAACAACAACAACAGCAACAACAACAACAACAACAACATCAAACAACCAAGACCCAACACCAAACAACCAATAGCCAACAACCACAACCACAACCACACCAACTCATCAAAAGCAGTTCCTCTTCCAGCACCCAGCGTCCGCCATTCCTGCTTGTGTCGCCTCCGCCTGTGCCTTCGCCTTGGCATCGCTGGCCGCTTGGGCGCGGTCCGCGGGCTTGGGCGGCTTGGGCGGCGCAGGCTTCTTCGGCGCCATGGACGCCTGGAGGATCCGAGGGGAGGATCCGAGGGGAGGCTGTGGAGGTCGTCCTTTGGATCAAACGTACAGACCGAGAGAATGGTCAATGGTGACAATACTAAGTCACTACACTCTCTGGAACTCACATGGAAGTGGATGACATGGCCCCTTGGAAGACCATGAAATCCACTACAAACAGGTGGTTTTCCACTTCCATGTTAATTCCAGGGAGAGTACTACTTGGGACCATTAAGAATGAAGTTTTGAGGAGATCGCTTGGGAGGATCCAACCAGTCCGTGCTTCCAAAACCAGCTTTTCACCTGGATCGGCGACGAACATCGATCCTCCACCGAGGTCCGTCGCCCCAAATGACGTTGGCGGCACCGGACCAGACCATCGATCGACCCATGAGGTCTTCGCTGCTTTCGTTTGGGTCATGGCTTTCCAAGTGCTGAGACGCAATCGAATGGTCCGCTCCACCCTTCATGTCTGGTCCGCATGTCTGTGGAAGAACCGTGTCAGGATGACAGACCATTCCACACAATGACGACTCCCATGCCAGGATCCCCGAACCTTCAGGAAATGATCGTCAATCATCCCCCCAGCTAAAGTAGATGCTGTGACCCTAGTGCAAGTGGTGCTTCCCAACAGCCACGGACTCTTTTCCTCGCTTAGCAATTTGGTTGTCATGGTCCTGGCGACCTGAGAAGAATTAAAACGGTTCTGCCAAAAGACATGTTTCTAGGTAAAACACCACAAGTCCACAAGTCACAAGGTCTATATACTGTGCTTTCCACGCACTGGAGTGCCCCACCAATATGTTGTACTTCCGAGTGAGGGCATCTTTTGTATATTCACCAAAAGCCTGAGTTGTTCACCTTTGTTTGAGGGCGCCCAAAGGGTTTGCAGGGTTGACCACAGCTCTGGGTTCGGCCATAAAACGTCGGATTCACCACAACCAGAACTTGATCCACCAAAAGCCGAATCTTGACCCACTGGATAAACATTATTGGATTGTTTGGTCTCAATGAAGACCTTGAGTGCCACCTCCCCTCCGGAACGCACTTTCAGTCAGGGGAGCCGGCAACTGAAACAAAGAACGAAATGCATGGCCGTTGAAGGTCTTGATGCATTTCTTGATACAGCCTACGCATGATCACCAGATCACTTCGGAATCTGGAACACATGGGAGCAGTCCCTTCCCCACCCTGAACTTCGCCCTGCATGCCTCAAACGGATCTTAGTCTCGACTTCATCTCGGTACGCCCCGCACAGCCAAACGCATGAAAAAGGCCAGCTGCTGCATCCAACATGGCGGCAGCTCGGGAGCGCATTGGGTCCAGAAGACAGGTCATGACATGGTGCGTGAGAATCGCGTGGAGGCTCATAGCTTGGTGAAAGAAGGTCATGAGAGGTCTTGATTGAGCATCAGCTGTCATGAAGGTAATGCAACTGTTCACTAACAGCTGATGGCTTTAACGAAGACTGATCCTCAGGCAGTGAAGCAAACTATACTAATATAGACAACAACGCCTTGAGCAGCACAAGCCGCATATATGCAGGGACCCATCAAGCTACCTTCATGTCATGTGAGATCACTTTGGGTCTCCGTCTCCGTCTCGGCCCGACCGGCTGTTCGAACTATTGGAACCAAAGCCTGATCCACCTGTCTGTTCCAACGCGAGTTGACCACCATCTCAGGGTGACCTGCACCCCTTTCGCCTGGTCGTTGACCTGCACGTATTGGAGGATCGTAGTATTGGAGGCACCCGCTATATTTCATCATCTACTTAGTCAAATAAAGAAGCTTTCAAGTGTTGCCCATGCCAAAGGGCAATACAGATCGTCGACGATAGGACAAACTCCTCCTTTGGGGTTGATATGGTCAACCATCACCATGGGTGTTTGATATATCTTGACCTCCAAGCCAGGGACAACCAATTAAACAAGAAAAGCAACTACAGCGATCAATAGGTTTTGTTGGTCTGGGTCACATCGCAACCCTTGAGTGACCCCGGACCAAGGCCATGGAAGGCCCAGACCTTAGAAGGTCAGGCCACCATGGATTGGACATCACATCGAGTGACGTCACTTCCTTTACTTTAAATTAATTCTAATAGCTTCTTTGTTACTACTAGTAAGGCACCTGTTACTACTAGC